GCGGTGTGCAGGGCAGTGTGGCAGGCAGCGTGAGCGTGTTGCATAGGGAGTTTGCTCCCGAGGGAGCTTTAGACACATCGATAGTTTAATAAACCGTGTTGCACAAAATCCCGGGTGTTGCAAGGGGGTAGCGGGGGAGGAGCGATTTCAGGGTCAATGTCTTGCAAGCCAGAGGAAATTCTCTCCCCTTTCTACGTCCCGCGTGGGAGGTGCGTGGATCCCCCCCCCCTTTCCTATCTGCAGGTAAGTGGCAGTGAATCCCCCCTGCTGCAAGCGCTGCAGGGACAGGGCAGCAGAACGGGAGGGGGGGGAGGTTCCTCCCTAGCTGCCCCTGCGGCTGCCGCCTCGCTCGTGGGGGCACTTGTATCGCTCAAACTCTTGCTATGTAGATGGATCCACACTGTGGGACTTTGCACTAGCTGCAGATGTGCCAGGTGCTGCAGGGTGTGTTATGTAAAGGGTTCCTTAGGCCCACCGCATTGCAGAACCTTCCAGATCCTGACTGCTTGCTTTCCCCACCACCCAGGTGTGAGGTGAAAAACCACAGTCCAGAGAGTAAATGTTTCCTTCCTGTTGGGCAAACTTTTTTTTCTCCTCAGAGCTACACAAAGTGTGTAAGAAAATAATATTAGTCAAAAATCCTGTGTGGGTGCTATATACTTTTAATATGAGTATCATCTGTTAGTGAATAGAAAAAGGGTAATACTGGGTCAGACCAAAGATCCATCTAGCCCAGTATCCTGTCTGCAGACAGCGGCCAATACCAGATGCCCCAGAGGGAGGGAACACAACAGGTAATCCTCACGTGATCTGTCTCCTGTCACCCATTTCCAGACAAACAGAGGCTAGGGACACCATTCCTACCCCTCCTGGCTAATAGCCATTGATGGACCTAACCTCCGTGCATCTATCTAGCTCTTTTTTGAACCCTGTTAAAGTCTGAGGGTAGGTCTAGCCTATGTTGCTATTTCGGGGTACTGGAAGGATCCCGAAATAGCAACGCCATGTCTTTAAAAGCACTTGCTAGTTCCCGAGATAGCAGACACTCTATTCTGGCATCCCTGTAACCGGTTAAGGGATTTGTTGGAAGAGTGCCTTATTTTGAAATTTGGTGCTGTGTAGACAGTGCTAAATTTCAAAATAAGCTCTTTTGACTCCTAATAAGCTATGCAATTTGCGTAGCATAGTGCAAATTGTGTAACTTATGCCAATAAAGTTGCTGTCTAGATTCGCCTCAAATTGTGTAACTTATGCCAATAAAGTTGCTGTCTAGATTCACCTATAGTTTTCACAAAATCCCCTGGCAAGGAATTCCACAGGTTGACTGTGTGCTGCTGCCTATTAATTAAATTTGGTGGCCCCTAGTTCTTATATTGTGGGAATAAGTAAATAACTTTTCCTTATTCACTTTTTCCACACCAGTCATGATTTTATAGACCTGTATCATATATTCCCCCTTAGTCTCCTCTTTTCTAAGCTGAAAATTCCCAGTCTTTTTAATCTTTCTTCATATGGGACCCGTTCCAAACCCCATATCATTTTTGTTGCCCTTCTCTGAACCTTTTCCAATGCCAATATATCTTTTTTAGATGAGGCGACCACATCTGTACATAGTATTCAAGATGTGCGCTTTTCATCTGTGTGTGTGTGTGTGTGTGTGTGTGTGTGTGTGTGGTGCATACATGCTAATTTACTGTTACTGATCAAACTGTTCTCTAGTGGTACATCTACACTGCACGGCTATTTTGGGATACTGGAGTATCCCGAAATAGCAATCCTGCATCTTCACTGCAAGCCCATTATTTCAGGCTCGCTATTCCGATGCCCCTGTAAACTTCTATGAGGAGTAAGGGACATTTCAGAATAGTGCTTTATTTCAACGCCCAATGATGAAATAAGCTATTTCAAAATAGTATCGAAATAAGATATGCAATTTGCGTAGCTCAAATTGTATATCTTATTTCGAGTTACAGTGCAGTGTAGACACACCCTTAACGCCTGTTCCAGCTTCCATTAAAGTCAGTCGGATTCTTGCCCTTGACATTAGTGGGAGTTGAATCAGGTCCTTAGAGTTGGATCCTGCCCTGAAAGAGGAGCTTTGCTATTGACAGCAGAGGGAGCAAATTCAGGCCCTTTTTATCTCAATGTCCTTTTCTTTAACTTGGGGATAATATTACCCACCTCTCTAAAGTGCTGAATGTTGCTGTTACTTTTGAAATCCCCACTAGGGCTGTAAAATCCCATTTAATTAGTTAACTGGTTAAACATTGTGTTTCTCTGGTTAACCCAATGAAGAGGGTGAGCAGGGGAAGGGAGCCACAGCAGACTTCTCCCCACAGATGCGGGCTGCTCCAGCAGGGCTGGAGCGTCCCTGCCCACAGTATGCCAGGAATAGGCCAGCCGTAGACTGGGGTTGCTCCTTCTGGGCTAGAGTGTCCCCCGTCTGTGGCAGGCGGGGGCTGCTCCAGCCCCCACTGGTTAACTCTAGGAGGCTTACTGGTTAACCGGTTAAACATTCACATCCCTAGTTCTCACACTTCCAACATGGGCTACAGCAGTGCTAGCTTCCTCCAGCTGCTTCAACCCTCAACTAGCAGCAACTACATTTAGGGGTGAGCTTGGGTTATGTTCTTGTCCATGCAGTCACAGCATCCCTGCCAGCAGTAAGGCAAGCTAGGCAATCACTTTTTGGCATGGGGACACCCTTCTATTAGGATCTGGACTGAGATCAACAACTCATTTCACAATAAGGCGACCAGACAGTCAACAGATGGTTCCAAGTTTTGGTCGCTACCATCCTGTGCTGGACTCAAATCAGTGACCTAGAGGTAAAAGGCTTTGGGTTTTCCCCATAAGCAGTCCCCCAAGCCATTACTATATTCACCATTTGGTGCCAAAAGGGCATTTAGAAGAGTCCTGTTGGCAGTCTCACTCTTCTGTTGTAATATGTACCAAAGGGAATATTACAACAGTCTGTCTGGAAGTTTTGTCTTGCCCTGCCACTCCTGGATATAAACTATAGAGATGCCTCATGCATGGAAAAACCCATTGTTACAGAGTACTTGAATCATCCTATATGAAAAAGGATGGGCAAGGAGTATGGATTTCATCAGCAAGCCGAGCTACCGTGATTTCTGTGGCTTGTGTTATACAAACTAAAGGATCACAAGGGTCCCTTCTGGCCTTGGACTCTATGATCATCTATCTCTGAACATCTATTGCCATATGTTTGACAGTGACTAGGTTAACTGCTCCATCAATGAGCTCTCCAGCCAGCATCTATGTGCTTTCACCCATGCTGCCCCACAGTCGGAAGATCTTTATACACATCTGCAAAACTAACTCCTTCAAGTCTTTCCTCCAAACTCTTCCTTGTCCTGGTGCCTAAAAAAACTTGACAGCAGTGAGGGCACTGGCATTCTCATTGCCTATCATGCTCACTGTGCTGTTTCCTTGTATTCCATCATCAGTCTGTGTGTATGCAGCTTTTAGTTAGATTGTAAGCTCTCTTTAAAGTAGGAGCTGTCTTTTTGTGCTGTGTTTGTACAGTACCTAGCACAATGGGTGCTGGTCCATAACTAGGACTGCTAGGCAGTACAGAGATATAAATAGGTGCGATGGATAGAGATGTGGATTGCCAAGGCTAACTTTTTGCTGTTTTTAATCAGGTTTCTCTCACTGCACCCAATAACCACAAATTAAAGTTGATTACAGTGAGCAAAATATCACTCCATTTACTGAATATCTAACAAATCTAAGGCAAGCAGGAGCAAACTGTATTTAAATAGACATCCCCAGGGCCTCTTCCCCCTTTCAACTAGTTTTAAGAGAAGCATTGCTTCAGATCCTGCTTACAGTTACATTGAGTTTCCACTTATGCTTGCAGATGTTTATCACACCATGATCAAATGATAACTCAGCCACCTTTAACAAAGACATGCCACTTTCCCCCATCAATTGAGTCTGGCACAGAGTATTCACTCATACTTGAGTGTAACATGATCTACAAGATGCCATCTGTGGAAAAAGCCTTTTCTGATATCAGACTTGCAAGCACAGAATCTAGAAAAGAAAATACCTAGTAGGTCATCAAGTCCATCTCCTGACTCTGCACGGCCCTAGGCTACAATACTGCTTCAAAGGTTACTTGCAGAGATAAATGAAACTCCATGTGACTTTCTGCTCTTTGACAAGATTCCTCCCCTTCCTTTTCTCCCCTGTAATTTTAGTGCTCACAGAGGGGCTAGATTAACAGATTTGATGGCTGAAGTCCTGCTTCCAAAGAGGTTCTGTGGGTACAACAGTGACAGGTTTCCCACACTACCCTGTTAGTAGACCTGAACATAAAGTGGAAGGAACACCTGTGTGATGGAGAAAGGGTAGCTTTTTAGCCAGTTCACTTAATAGGTAGCAAGTTTAAAACAAACAAAAGGAAGTTTTTCTTCGCGCAGAGCACAGTCAACCTGTGGAACTCCTTGCCAGAGGATTTTGTAAAGACCAGGACTTTAACAGAGTTCAAAAAAGAGCTAAATACACTCATGGAGGATAGGTCCATCAAAGGCTATTAGCCAGGATGGACAGGAATGAGGTCCCTAGCCTCTGTTTGTCAGAAGCTGGGAATGGATGACGGGGAGGAATCACCTGATTACTTGTTCTGTTCATTACCTCCGGGACACGTGCCATTGGCCACTGTTGGAAGACAAGGTACTGGCCTAGATACATTTTTGGTCTGACCCAGTATGGTCATTCTTATGTTCACTTATGTTTGGTACATACTGCCAATTCCAAGCACTATATAGAGATAGGTAAGTGCTGCTATTTGTATTTTACAGAAGTGAAAACTGAGATACTGAGCAGTGAAAT